GGAATTATTTAGTCACTTTTCGCACCGGTTTGAACTCCCTATCGCACTTGTTCCAACAAAACTTATCTTTAAGTTACCGTGAAGTTTAATATGCAAAAGAGTGTAACCAGTAGATGTGGTCCTTATAGACATTTTTCTGTGTTAATATTTCTTGTTTCTTTATCTTGTTTAGTCAGCAAAATAATTTTTCGCGGCTGTGAACTTTTTAAGTCATGTTTGCCGTAGAAAGGCTTTTGAGATTCTGCGAGTATGGAAGGTTAAGATAAGAGAATTCTTACTGTGTTTAGTTTACTGTGCCCAAATCAGTTTTGTATTTTTCTTAGGTTCCGTAATATTTCTAGGCGGGTATATTAACTGCGTTTATGATGTTACCGTAGGCTATCCAGACGCTATTGTGCAAACAGAATTAGATCTAGTTAAAGGGAAAGCACCAGAGTGTGTACACTTTGACATACGCAGAATCGACATATCTGAAGTGCCTAGAACGTCGAGTGAAATAGCTAGCTGGATAAACTCGTAAGTGACATCTTTTTTTAATTGTATTCTTCACATGTCAGTGGCAAATTTAGGTCTATACAAATATTAGCAATTAGGATGGTATTCTTACTCAAGTATCCTCACTGGCACTTCCCAGAGAAGCTACAAAATGTCAATTATCTTTGGCAATACTACTTATATCCTTCGCGAAACTTGTGAATCCCCATCTTTTCAGACTCTGGATGGCTAAAGAAGTTAAACTAGCTAATTTTTACTCTAAACCAGAAGGTGAACGTTCTTTCGATACCGATGACAGCTGCTTCGTCTGGGACGTAAGTTGGGATACCAATTACAGAGTTCTCAATTCGTTCTCGAGCCATCTTTCGCAACTTGAACTAAGTTATGACGGAAGTGGCCTAAAAGTCGGAGATAAGAGTAGAACTAATTCTAAAATTACAAATTTGACAAATTGAGTCTCTTTTTGGTACTGCTTCCCTCAAAAAATTCTTTCCATCCAATTTATATTTTAGAAGGAGGAGCCGCTTCAGAAACTGGTAATGTGTTTGTCCTTCCTCATATGGATCACTGTTGTTGCGCTCTGGGTATATCAAATGACGTTCCTATGGTTTGCTCAAGTAACTTTTCATTAACTGAAGTTTATCCCCAAAAACTTCTCTTTACACTCACTCTGAAACTTTATACGCCCTTTATACTTCGCTTTTTAATTTCTCCCCTTGATGTATCACCTTTAGATTTTGCAGAGGGTCAGGTGACGAGAAGGCTGTGCATTTGTGATGAAAGAGTTTATTTTAGGTGGGCATTTTGGTTTATTTAGCCCTTGTGATTTTTACTAGCTATTTTTATGGAGGAATAGACCGGATGGCCTTCTACCGGTGGAAGAAGAGCAGAGATGAGGTGTGAAGCAGAGTGTGCCTCAAAATACTAATTCCCAATACGCCTGCGATTACTCAGAAGTTAAAATAAATCTCTTTCTTTCTTGTGAAAAGTCACAGTCTTTTGGTCTACGGCCAAATAATTCCCGACAGCAGCCTTTAGCTGCTGTGGGTAACAAGTATTGTCAGTGAACGGAAAACATGACAATTATAACAAAACATAAGCAAGGATAGCAACGAGAACAATATTCCGTACGAATAAAAAAACGCTGAAGGTGATTTAGTAGCCCAAACTGATTCACCAGGATTTTGGATTGGAAGGGTCTAGAGGAGGCATACTTAGATCAGAAGGATTTGTGAGGGACAGAAAACCTCTATGAGGACGAAGGAGTATCAACTTGAGGGAGCACAGGAGTTGCATGAGTCAGTGGGAAAAGTCTCGCATTTTCTAAATTGTGTTTCTAAGCTAAAACCGCACAGTAGGGTCAAAATTGGTCGCGCTCGGGACTTATGAAGAGTCAAGAGTAGAATGAAGCTAACGAGCGCAAAGGGAATTTAAAGGAAACGGAAATTTCTGTCTGGGTGTATCTTCCTATAGATTTCCGGAGTGCTACTCAAACGATGCTTCACTTCCTCATGCCCTTTCTGGCCGCCACTTTGCAGGTATTCATGCGTTCATGGAGAGTATAAGAAAAATATTCTCACAAAAGAACAAGGGCACTAAAAGAAAACTTGCCCTCAAAAAACCGAATGATAAGTAAAACGTGAATTCCTTCAACCAAAAGGAATATAGATTCGTTGAGCAAATCTGCAGTCCAGGAGTTTCTATACCACCGGCAGAAAAAGTAGACGGCATCTGTCAAATCATGATACAACTGGAGAAATATGTTGCCTCCAACAGTTACTGATAAAATGTACTATGATTCTGTTTTAAAAACCTTCATCGTACAATCAGCGCCACCGCTAACAATTAATTCTTTTCGTGACCAATCGGAACATAAGATTCTGTCATCGTGCCCTTTTAAGTCGTACAGTGACGTTTTTCCGCTTCTAAAAACTTACGTAAGATGTCCACAGGATTGTTCACATATCGTTAAGTCTAAGACGGCGTTAATTTAATCTTCGGCTGAATTATAAACGATATTTTGGCCTACCTGACGTCCCACATTTTGGTAACTTGATCGAAGCTGGACGATATAAAAACATGATCGCTATTGGGTTTCCAAGAAACTGAAGACACCCACCCTGTGTGTCCCATAAAGGTCTGTTTGACCAATGAACCTTCTGAAAATGCATGTGAAATTTTAGCTACACATTGTAAAATCCTCATCTGAAGTGGAAACTGTTAATAAATCCCTAAATAATTATGTTCAACTAAAAGTAACCTTTGCTACGAGGATCCCACAATCTGACTATAGGGTCAGCTGAACCAGTAATTATAAAATTAGATGACGGGCACACAGCCAAGCAGGTGAAGGACTTAGACGACGGCATAAATCCAACTTGTCCTAAAAAGTCCATAAGGCTGACAACACAAAAACTTCGGCTCACTCTACAGTAAATCTTCAAAAAAAGTATTGTAACATAGACCGCTGGCAGCAAAAGAAAGCAGAAATGCTACTGCTAAAAAAACCAGTTTCGTAACAATTACAAAACAATGAAAAAACTGCCCTTAATGGAATTAAAGACTTAAATTTGTAACTTCGGTTGTGACTTTCTTCAAAAAATTAAAGGCACCGTGCAACCTTTCCTGTTTTGTAAAGTACATGACCAGATAAAGTCAATCCACAATGGTTCCATATTTCAAAAACGCCAAAACAAATGAAAAGAACTTTGCAACTAGGCTGAGAAATAGTAAAAATTCACACGTCTTAATCTAAGGAACGAAAATGAAACAAAGAACTCTAGAATAAAAAACTTGCCTCCAAGTTCTAAATCCCAAAACACCATGCTATGATCCCAAGAGGCAGTAACTACGTCATTCTTTGAGTTCGGCAGCCAAGATACCGCTACAACTGCGTCTACGTGAGCAGTCAATGTAACAATAGGCGTCTATAATGTCAATTTACGTCTTCACGGGAAAAGTAAAGTGGCACAATAAGACGGTTGTTTTACTTTTGTTATAGCTGTTTTCCGCTTCTTCACTGTTCCGTTCTCTTTACCCTTATAGTTTGTTTCGTCGTCGCCTAAATTTAATAAAAAAATCATGCGTAGTTAGATGTTAGTTTCATCCAATTCTTTTATGAAAATTGTTGAAAAAGCACTTCCGGCATTTCCAACTTTAAAAACCACTCTCACTTCCTCAATTCCTGATTTAAAACAAAAGACTTTGAAAACAAAGAAACATTCTCAGCGTCTAAACACTATGTATCAAATAACTGATGTTTTCACAAAAAATGATTTGAGAACAAAGTTTAGTGAAGTAAATTACTAAGATCGGGATTCCAAACTTTCAAAAACGTGTCGAAACTGCCCGACACAAATCGTGAGCCGTCGGGACTGACTGCTAGGCATTCTATACTGCGCTCATGACCCCGAAATACTGCTTGTGGCACAAAACTTTGTTCTTTCCCATCCTCTAATTCACTTAAAATAATTATTTGTCCATGCCCGCCACTCAACACCATTGAACCTAGATAAAAAACATTTACTGTGCTGTTTCCATTAACTTCTTCAAATGATGCTAAGCAAAAATGGGAAGCTTTTCAAACAGAAATCTAAGCAATATAGGAAAAAATAACCTGAAGTATTTGGCAGCACTTCAATGCATTTTGCAGCTTCTTCATGAAGTTGCTGAGTACACAAAATGTTACCGGCGTGAGAGCAACATGAAACACATCCATCATATGTAGTCGCGAGAATACTAAACCCACTTGTTGACAAAGCAGTGAAACTAAGGCACAAATAGAAGACAAAAAGTGATTAAGAAAAACTAAACCATACTGTAAGGAAGAATTCACGACTGCTTTTCTACTAATCTTATTTTTTCAAAAATTTTATGTATATTGAATGGACATCAAACTGCCGTACAAAAGAAAAAAAAATGTACTATTTTTCAGTGGTCTTTACAGAGCTGACCCAATCACTCAGTTTGGTATCTGCTTCAGGTACTGGAGCTGGCTCTCGAAGAAGACATTCTACCGGTATCACAGTCTCCTTTAACAATAATGACACCAGTATAGGTAACAAGGAATATAATATTAATAATAAACAAAAGAGTGGAAATGACCTAATGAGTTAAAAGCAGAATTCATTTGTCCGACGCGATAGAGGGGGTTAAGAGAGGTCAGAAACATAAATTATTTGTCATCAGAAAAACTAAAACTCACCGTCGGTATCCCATCTGCTTCTACCACCTCCTTGAGCGTACTTCGCAGTAGAGAGGAGCTGATTAGAAATTCGAACGTTACTGGTTTATAGTCATCACCTAGAACAAATCCAATTTTAAACTGAGTCTACAAGTAGATAACTTTAAAGTAGTTTTAATTATTAAAAATCATAACAGAGTAAGCGGCTATAATGAAATATCAGATTGTCGTAAAAAGATGTACAGTAACTGTCCAGAAGAAAAAGAAAAAAGCATACCCAGTGTTTCCTCAAGAGTTTTATTCACAATACTGTTAAGATTTTCTGCCGTAGCTTCCGCAGGTACAGATATACTAACATTGGGAATGCATTTATAGCTAAAATATATCTATTATCTCTCCTGAAACAATCAACTGATACCACCTATGACCGTTTTTCTTCTACTCTAAAACGCTCTTATGAACAGATATGAGCAACAACTAACTTGTCATTCTTCGAATAGAACGACAATTGATAGTAGGGTATTTCCGGAACATCAACCATCGTAGCTACGAGTACAATAGTTGAGTATACCGACCACTGCTGAAAAAAAGTTTCAATAATTATTCAGTAAAGGATGGGAGTAAAGAAACGAATACTTTCAGTTTTGTTACACAACAGGAAAAAAGAGTGGAAATAAATAAAACTATGCTATGATACGTGTTCTAAATTTCTTTCTCAGTTAACAGTAAGAAGCAAATAAAAATGCACAGGCATAATTAGCCACAAATTACTCTTAGACTTCCTGATCCTTCCCTCAATTATTATAACTTGTCACTAATCAAATGTCAAACAGAAAAAACTTGCTCAACACTCACAGCAAATTAAACAGGCAGTAACTATATCTGTTTAGTAAGTCGTTGCAAGTTCAAAAAATACCGGAGCAGGAGCTTTTGAGAAAAATAGACAACTGCGAGGCTGAATCATCCAGCTTCAAAATACCATCACAAAAAAAAAAAAAAAAAAAAAAAAAAAAA